TTCGAAACTAAGGTCCAAAGGAACAAACTGAACATGTTAGACTTAAAATGTTCCACAAATTATCCGCAAATTTTAAACTTAAATTCGATTGTGAAAAGATAAAAACTAAAGGCACTAGACTTCATTAACGGTTCATTAAAGATAGGGGAAGGTGTAAGACAAATATTAAAGATACCGGCGTGGAAATTAAAAATAAGTTTTAAGGTAAAGATAAGAGAGGAAAAAAAGTAAAAACTAAAACATTGGAGCAGAATAAAATAAAATTAAAACTAAAACAAATCTTTAATCTAGAAATGAAATTTGTTTTAATTTAAATAATCAACCAAACTACTACAATTTCCTTCAAATACTGAGATAACTAGATCATTTTTAGTACAGGAACAATATTGCTGTTTTCATTAGTTCTATATATCCTATTCAAAATAAATTCAGCTATTTACAAAGCAATTTAGACAGCGCGCCATCTCAACGTTGAACAGCATTTTGAAGAAAAATAGCAACAAAACTCATATCCTTTTCTCAGAATATCATTTATGTAGCAGGGTTCTGAGTTTCAAAGATTTTCAAGCTACTCCGAGCCAGCTTCAACTTTTCCTTTTCGTTCCTGAACGACTGATTTCCAAATATAGTACTTTCCGGATAAGTAATACTGCTACAGACGACAATAATTATAAACTTAACAAATAAAATCTACTGTAAGATTTAAAAAGTTTGTATAGAGTTTTTCCAATTCAATTAATCGGAAGAAAACTTGTAGGGTTTCCCTTAGTTTGCATAACAAACTATTTTAAGTTTGGTATCTTTCCTGAACTTCTCATTTTACCCTCGAATTTCCTCGCCAGGATGCAAATTTGAAATCAAGAGAAGAGTATAAAAACAGACGAAACTAGTAGTTTATTCACCCCGTCAAGCACTTGTATCTTATGGTGAATATTCCTTACGGTTGCATCACAGGCCAGGTTCTAATTGGACTCTCTCAATAACTGCCAAGAGTAGGAACACTATGACCTACTGCAGGCCAGTATACCGACCGAGTATCAAAGTATCAAAGTTTATTCAAAGCGTGATTTCGCTAGCCAGCATACGTTGCTAGTTTGTCCATGCTGCTTTTACACCGAGTCGCTGATGTGCCTTTTGGCCATTTATTAAGTATATCGCCGAGTAGGTCGTTGAGTCAGCCTAGTTAGCCTTAAACTAAATTATTAGTCCAGCAGTACTATTTCTCTTTGAATTTATTGTTAAATTATTCTTAAGTTCCACCGCAAGTTGTCGGGGTTATTGTGAGCATGAAATACGTGCATTTGTGTTAAGAGTTTGATGAATAATTAAGGGTTTATTTTACTCTTCTTCTGCGCTGGCATTATTCACGTTTGTGCGAGAAGTCACCAGGTTTCCTAGTAAGATCACATTAAATTTATGATTGCCAAGAAGACAAGATCTTACAAACTTAAGATTTATAGGAATCCTTTTTCGCCCAGAAGAGCGGTAAATAGGTGCTTACTTGATGTCTGAGTCAGCTTATTTAATGCAGGTGGCAACCTAGGTACGCTATAAGAATTTTCAGAAAACCTGCGGAAACCTTCATATTGCTCATATATGCTTTTCGGGTCTGATAAGCCATTAATAACTCTGTATACATCACAAATACTTATACTTCAACATTAGCAGAAGTCGGTTCCTTCACCTCTGTAACCCAACATATCTTCAGTTTCTTTTCATACCTACTTGTTCGTATTTTATTAGCTTACAACTGTACAGAAATATAGTTTTACATTATATTATTCGATCATTATATCCGACAATTAGTTATATGCGCAGGAAATAAAGTACTTGAACAATTTTAAAGGGTTAATTATCAGTGCGGAACCCCATACGCGCGCTATCTTACAAGGAGAGTTAGGTATAATCATATTTGTGATACATTTTGCTAGCAAAAGGGCAACAAATTGCTATTTTAGAGTGTTTGTCACTGCTTATGAAAAGTAGGTGAACATAACTACAAAACGAACAAAAATCTTAGGCAAATGAAAAAAAAAATTATTATTGTTATAAAACTAAACATTTCTGTATACCCATCTAAAGACAAATCATTGTTCTATAGAACTACTGCAATGAATCTTAGTTACAGTTCAATTAAGAAATAAGATTTTGAATTAGCAATCAAAACTGCAAGATCAAATTCAAGCTATTAATTTATTGTTTCAAAGAATTTTAAAATTGAGAGCGAAAAGTGCAGGGCTTTTGTTTAAATTAACCTTTACTCTTATGAGAGGGAAATGGTATCTTCAAAAACAGAAAATACCTTTTTGATCGACTTCTTAAAAGATTTCAATATTTTTTGTTCTAAAATGATTACTGTAATGCTCTAGTCTGATAAAATTCAGATGATTTTCATCGCTTACTGATGAAAGAATCCCTTTTAATTAGTAACCTTAGTAATTTCTTAAAAGGACTAATTTCTATTTTGCAAAGCAAGAACACATGTGAAAACGTGATTATTGTAAAAGTACATGTGAATTTTTTATTTTAGTAAGGTGATTCGATATTTCGTAAAGGTTTCTGCAGAAAAATAATGTAACCAATATACAGTGTCTCACAAAAGTGATGGGACACTTGTGCTTTACAAAAGGAAACTGCAATAAAATAAATTAAAAAAACATGTAAAATTTTTTGTGGGTGTGTTTCATACTTAAATTTAGTAACAATTATTACATAACATGCATTTTCTCAAAATATTAAAACATTAATTTAATAAAAATACAATTGTTTAGAACGGAGCAAAAAATTGCTCACGTAAGTGATGGGACACTTACTTTTCAATCAAATATTTATCCAAAAATTTTACTTTTTAAAAGGTTTTTAATATTTTGTTGGATTTTCGGTTTTACTTTTAAACATGATTTAATCTTCTTGGGATGGATTCGACTAACTTTTTTAGTGATTTCTGGAGTGATTTTACTCCATTCTTTTCTTCTTGAAGCAACCGATTTTAATTGTTGTTTTGAAGAAATGGTGTGTTTGCGAATTCTTGATTCCAATTCTTGCCAAATATTCTCTATGGGATTTAAGTCTGGAGATTTGTGGTGGTTTTTTTATCATTTCAGGACAGTTATACAGCAGCCAGAGTCTAACGTTCAAAGCAGTTGTGCTTGGGGTCATTGTCCTGGTAGAATTTTAAAATCGTTATGAAGGTTCAATTTTCGTGCTGAAGATTTCAAATTTTTTTGATTTAAAATGTCATTTTACTTGTACTGATCCATTATACTGTCAATAAAAACAGGATTACCAACTCCAGCGGACGACATATACCCCCATACCATAACTCTTATCCCCATGTTTACTGTTGGCACCAAGTTCTGTTTGCGAAATTCTTCCCTGGGTTTTCTCCACAGCAAGATTCTAACCGTCAGAACCAAATATATTAAATTACTCTCATCAGTAAATATAACGTCATTTCAGTAATCAGAATTCCTATTTTTATGTTGGATTTTGCGAAAGCCAGTCTGAGTTGTCTATTCTTTTCACTCAAGAAGAATTTTTTCCTGGCTGCTCTACCGTGATATCCAGTAGATCTAATTACTCTTATAATAGTCTCAGGAATTAACAATTACTCCATATAATGCTTGTAAATCAGACAGCAACTATAGGAGCACTCATTCTTGGAGTTTTTTTTTAATATTTCCGAACGATAATTCGCTTTATTCCTTTGGATAGCTTTGATGGTCGGCCGAGGTCTTCTGTTATCCTGAATCATATGATTCTTTTTATATCGTTTAATGATATGAAAACTGTTGAATGACTGAAGTTAACTGTTTCATTCAGCAGTTTCTCTAATAGATTTTCCACGTTCAACATGCAAATTAATACTAATTTTTCGAATTTCAGGCAAAGTTTCTTTTCGTTCAGCAATCATGGCTGCCAGAGCTAAAAAAACACAAAAATTCCAAAACAAACTGGAGAGAAATATGCAGACGATTTCATAAATATTGCCAATTGCTTTTAAGTAAAAATAAATACCCCAAAAGAATTTTATTGCTTACTTCAGTCGAATTTTGTTGCATAGTATGTAGTGTCCCATCAATTATGTGAGCCATTTTTTCTCCGTGCTACAATTGTATTTTTATTAATTAATTATTTTAATATTTTGAGAAAATGTATGTTATGTAATAATTGTTTTAAATTTAAGTATGAAACGCACCCACAAAAAATTTTTACATGTTTTTTTAATTAATTTTATTAATACAGTTTCCTTTTGTAAAGCATAAGTGTCCCATCATTTTTGTGAGACACTGTACCCTCTAATTATTTCTCAACCAAGAATAATGATAAAATTCTATGAATTATCTATGATCTTATTATTCTACGATCAATCTTCTTTTATAATAATCAGGGTTATTATGTGAATTCTAATCTTTTTCAAAGCACAAAAGAAAACATCATGAAATACTTCTGCGAATTATATAATCAGATATCTGAAACTTTAGATTGAAAAAGAACATGAAATTGTCTGGGAATTTGATATTGTAACAGTTAGCAAACTATGACAACAAAAGTATGTCATACTTCCATCGCTTCAGATACAAAAATAACTAGTAATAACACATCTATTATATCACGAAGCTTGGCTCTTTTTCTATTCTCTGCTTGTAACTCATATTCTACAGAAAATAAAAAGATAATAGTGTTCTCTGTTCTCTAGCCTATGGCATCAGAAACCACTCACAGTGCGGCTACGGACAAACAACTTAGAAGCAGACGATAAAGAATTGCATTAAAGCTCTTTAACGCGATATTTAAACCGAGATGTCTTGACTATCTCACATAAAGGAACTTTTATTATTAGATTGGAGTTGTTGACCGGATATCTAAGCATAGATAAATATTGTCGGGTCAGCTGCAGATAAAATAGGCCTTTATCTTTTGCTGTCGGAATGGTAAACAAGTTTAAACAGCATTATACCACAAGCCGCAATTCTTTCCTTTCCTTTTTTTCTTCTTTCTTTTAATCCATGGCGGAAGTTTAACAAGATCTGAAGTAAAATATCTGAAGTATAATATCTAAATATTTTATTATTTTCTTGTAGTTCTCTCTAATTTAAAATCCAAGTGCTAATCTAACTAGAGCTAACGGCCTAGTTTAAGGTATACTATATGTCACACCGAATTAATTACCTCCAGCAAATGAATCATGATTTAATAATAATAATATTAATAATTTACGTATGGGTTTAAAACTGAAAATCATGCAAGAGAATAAGGAATAGCTTTCAGAAGAAATAGCTAACAATTATTAATTTGGTTTAGTTCATTTGGTTATAGCAAAGTACTCGAGGAATACCTGCTTAAGGGAAGAGATGGCTTCTCGGAAGACTTTCTAAAGACTGGCTCGAATACACATTACACATGGAGAAAACCACGAAAACGCCCATGCAACCAGCTCATTCGCAAGGATTCGAACTCCAGACCGGACCACCAGTGTTCTGTGACTTTACCTGGTGGGCCAATAATTAATTTAAGATGAACTAAATTAATTGCTAACTACTTATCATTAAATCTAAGTGGCAATATTTTCTTAAAATTTTGCGTTTAATTCTTACAAAACTAATTCTACAAATGCTTTTTCATTTAAGAATGATTGAAAACAATTTTCTTATTAAAAATTATTTTTATTAACCAAATTTTGCTAAATATTTACTTACTTTTAAAAATCATTAATAATTTTATAACGTTTCGTTTATTTTACTGTCTGGCATTCTAAAATATGGACTATGAAACTGAAAAAGTAATGACGTATTCCCAGTTTTTTGAAGAATATGGGAGAAAATGTTAAAGTTATATTATTATTGGAAATTAGGCATATATTTAATAATTAAAAAAACTACATATATTACTACATATATTTCAGCAACCAAAAAAAAAAAAAAAAAAAAAAAAAAAAAAAAGTTCAGTCATTGCGCAGGCAGATGAATGTCAAACGTTCTGTGGAAATTTGAAACTCAGAATATAAGAAAAATAATGTTATCATTATTGATGACTTATTAAAAATGTATTATTTCAGTTTCCAGAAAAATGCCAAATAAATAATGAAGTGCCTTTGAAAATCTTTATATACTGTTTTACGGATTTTAGAACCTCCACTTTTAAAATTTTGACCTTATTTCAAGAGAAAGATATACATTTATTAACGTTTGCTTGCTCAAGTTTTTTTTTTTTTTTCCAAATTTTTAACTCAGGTGTTGAAATTTTATAATCTTTCTTGGAGCTTGAACATCAAAATGAGTAAGCATTTCTTGCAGTTTGTTACGATCTGAGGTATACTGTCTAGTAACACAATAGTTTTAATTAAACTTTTAAAACACTTAGTAATTGCAATAGTAACTTTATTAATTTTAAACTTTAAAGTATCAGATCCCTAACAGTTATTTTTCTGTATTTGTTTCCTATAGTGCAATTGAAACATTCATTAACATTTAATGATTATCCATACATTTATTAATTCAGATTTCATATAAATAGGTTTAATTTGACTCTGTGTTTTACTGAGTTGCGCGCTAATAATGTTTATATTTTATGCCACTGTCTACTAGTGATTGTTCTTATTTACACAAATTGTTTAAACTTTTGCTCAGTCTGATGAGTTCTCTATTTTTACATCTATTTTGCTTGGAAATGTTCTTTGGTAATTGTTAATTACTGAAATTAAACTAAATATTTTTTTAATCTAAAAATAAAAAGGGATAATTAATAAACTTGAAAATAAATCACTAGCTGCAATCTTTTGGTTTTACAAATGGACTATAATTAAAGCTTTAGTGATGCCAAATTTTAATTTATGAATGCAACTGTTAAATTTAATTTTTAAAATATTTTTTTATTCTAAAATTAAATATCATATGAAGATTTTGAAATGAAGGTCAACTAAATTCCAAAGGTAATATTTCCTTAATTTGAACTTAACTTACTGTAAACAACTATAACTTCAGAAAAAAACAATTCAAATGAAATTTTGTTTGAGATTTTCAGACTATTTTTACACTGAAAACTCTGAATGGATATTTTAGTCAAATTTGTCTTTCTGAGAAGTGGTTATTTTATTTAAATGTAAGAAAATCACTAATTCATGGAATAATCTTTCTCTAACTTACTGAAATGTAAACAATTGAAATCTACTGAAACTACTGAAATCTCATTTACCAAGCTTCCAAACAACTCAGGAACTGAGAATCCAACAATAAAAAATGGCGAGTGAAATTCCTCAGGCAGAAAAAGAAATTCTCGATATGATTACGCATATCATTTTAAGAATTAGAGATATTTAAAGTTTATGTTGGCGTAGCTAAAATTTTCATACTTTTGTATGTTGAATGTATGGCGGAAAAAAGATCAGGAAAGATATAGAACTAAACAATTAATATTTTCACGTTAGCATAATTGTCATATTTAGTGAATACAGCTCATCTTTTACTCTTTGGTTTTAGTGATATAGAATAAAATATTAATCAAAAGTTACATTTGCATTAGAAAAATATATTATAATCTATTAGACCGTCTTCTAAGTACTATGGACAGAGAAAGGAAATTATTTGGAAAGAGAGGTTTATAAATGCTACATTTTTAAGTCACAATTAAATTTCTTTTTATAAATATTCTTTTTATTTGGTATAACTTCTTTATAAAACTTTACCGGGCTATTAAAAAAATAATCTTCCCAAATGCGCAAGTAGAAGACGTAGTTCTAATGTAACAGAAGAACATTTATAAATTGAGCCAAAAATATAATGTAAATCTTAAGCATTTATTAGTATTAAAGGGAAAATGAGAAAATAGCATCGTAACTTCCAAGGAAACATATTTTAATTTTCTATCCCAAAGCTTTCTTGATTAAGGATAAATCCTAATTTAATTAAAATAATTTTTAGGAACCTAGAATGTTGCATATGAAAATAAAACAGAAATTTTATAAAGTAAATAACAATTGTTTTTAAATTTTTCTTGCGGAAATGAAAATGGCAGGTTATTTTGAATTGCCCCACAGAATTTATTTAATCAGGAAATGAATTTTCTCCTGGATTAATTAAATACGGAAATTAAACCGTGTCCTCTTGATCTCGATGAAAGGAAAGAAAGACAGTTGCCACGGATGGAAACATTTTTTTTTTTTCATAATTCTAGCCAAAGTACAAAGTTTAATTAATTTTTAAAACCCTAACCACTTTTATTTTTTAATACAGCAAGGCAAATATACATAATGTAGAGGATTAGACATATATATTGCAAGAAATGCAAACTTTGTTTTTTCAGTTTCTTAGTTTCCTATAAACAATGCACTGTTACAATTTTAAAGAAAAATAAAAAATCTTATTCCTCGTAGAATGGCAACAGCTGTCAAGATTAGCAGTTGGCTGTACTGCATCATTCATTAAGAAAATGAACAACGATCTATTAGCTTAAAATTACGCGAAAAATATAAAAACTACAGAAGTTTCTAACTTCATAAAACATATTTGCTACATTCAAGATTTTTCTTTTCGAATGTCTTAGTAGGAAATTAAAAAACTTTTTACTGTGCACAGTCATTTAAATTTGTCTAAATTTAATAAAAAATGGATTTAAAAAAATTATACATATAATATGACATAAGCTAAGCAGCAACAGAATATCCGAAATAAAATTGGATTGGGAATAAAAATTTATCGATTTTTTTAAGGGTTGCGTGAAATTTATTAATCTTTAAAAGAATTACTTACATGTTATACTTCTGCATTTTTATTTTAATTTATTGAAAATTTGTGACATTTACTGGAATATATTTGTAATAAATTTAAACGTTAACATAAAAATATTTTTTTATTTTGAATAAGTACTAGTCTACAATGTGTGAAACTTAAATTATGAAGGGTGATTTCTTTGAAGTGTGCATTTACTTCTTTTAATATTAAATACGTTTACAAAAATAAAGAACTGAGCTTAAAAATTTTATATCTTCTGCTCTAGGACGGTAAGTTGTCCTCCAAATTCTTCGGGCACTGAAATTACAAATAATTAATCCTAATAACAGAAAAATGAAAGTTTATGGTATTTCGGATGAAAGTAGGAGGCAGTATTAAAGAAAATCGCCTCCTTGAATTCTTCAATAAAGTATTATTGGAATGCTTTTCTGCCAAAGTCGCTTCAAGAAAATAAATGTCATTAGACATCCTCAGTTTGCTCTTAATTTACATCTAGACAAAAGAAAATATATCAGAGAAAATTGATGAAAAAATTAATTTAAAGCATTCAGTATTTCTTGATATAATAAAGCTATGAAATCTTATTCAATACACCATCATAAAATTCAAAATGAAAGAAAGTTTGGAGGACTGTCAAAACTGCTTTTGATGTACAACACATTGTCGTCAAGAATATTTTTTTAAAATAAAAATAAAAGACCTAATGCTTCCGAACTTACAGCAGAATTTCATGATGAATCTTATAAAATATTTCTTGTTTCGGAAGCTGTTCGAATATTAACTCGATTTGCTAGATACAACTCTCGGATGGCGAAGAAAAATTAACCGAACAGAAAATTTAGGCTTTTCTTCTCAAACTCTGTATGAGGAATAAGAATTCTGAATGACAGGTTGTACTTACTGGTACCACATATTATATTACTCCGCATATTTAGAGTAAATTTAATATCTTTGGTTCAAATGATCAATTAACAGCGTGAAGGAAACTTGAAGAACTTCAGTAATAATAATAAAACATGGTGGAAGAGGTGTTATGATATGTCATACAGAGCTGGAAATCTTGAATTTATGGATGACATAAATGCAGCCCTTTCGAAACTGTTAGTCTCGCAATCTGCAAATTATTGCGATCTAGCTGTGCACTTTTTTTTATTTTATTTGGTGAGGAAAAGAGGAAAAAAAGGGAAAGTGTCAGCGAAAAACAATGTAATAATGGAAAAAAAAACAAGAATTAATATATATAACAAATATCAATGAATTAATATTTGTAAATTTATCAATTATTAAAATAAATATTCCTAACTTTATAACAAAAGAGAA